ACATCACAAAGCTACCACTTAACAATCATTTTTGCAGATACGGCGGGGAGATGAAAGGCGAATCCGAAATGGAATTTGATATCGACATTGGACCGCTTGTTGTCCACAAATACACTGTCACTAATAAAGGGCCATGGTCAGTGTCCAATGTTACGGTCCAGGTATGTGTCGTGCGCAGCTCACCAATATTAGTAGTATATATTGTACGCAAATGACCACAGCTGGTGCTATTTGTTTGGTGTGTGGTAAATGTCACTTTAATATTTTGATGAGTTGTTGCTTCGTCGTCGCATTTTTTCTCACCACAGATACAGCTGGCAAAATTCTCCATTCTTCTCTGATTTGAGCTTCTCTCGTCCATTTAATTCATGTAGCCGTTCAAGCGGATTCTTTCACTGCACTGACGACCCCTACCTGTGTTCTTTGAGAAAATAACTGCGTGGGCAAAAATATTTGCTATAAAAAAAGGAATAGTTAGGTGTAAAAATTATCAGTTTTACGGTAAATACTGATTGAGCTGGATGAAAATGCCGAAGTGCAATCATCTGGCTGAAAAATAGAAAAATATCCATTTATCTCGTTCGGACTTTGATATTTCGTAGCTCCAGGGCATATCATATCTCCAGAATATATCGTGAATATTTATCGTACACTTTCTATGAGCGGAATACCTTCGTGATTCCTTTCTGTTTATCTTATAATACAGGAGGAGGGGATTTGATCTGTGTGCTAAGGCTTAAATTTTTCTTTTAGTGAGGGTGGTTTCCAGGTTGACTGGCCATATCAGGTGGCAAGTGTTTTCGCGAAAGGTAAATGGGCACTGTATTTGCTGGAACCGCCAACAATGCAGGTAACAAATATGGACAACAGCAAGGATGTGAAACAGTGTGTGATGGCACTACCGCACGAATGGATCAATCCGCTGCAACTTAAATTATACTTAGAAAGTGATCACGAGCATTATTTCGACGAGCAGCAGGATGGGCAGGAAGATTCCAGCGATGAGCACGACAGTGAGGATGGAGCAAATGGAGGCTTAAATCGAATTAAGGTATGTTCATGAGTCATAGTTTCTGCTTATGTTCGGTTTTGGCATTTCATGTCAAGTATAATATTTATGCTTGGTGAAGCACCTCAGCTTGGTTTGGGATTGGTAACGCTTGAAGATGAGATGGTGATGCTTTCCACATACCACTGTATCTCTGAGTGGCCAAAACTTTGCCAGAGTGTTTTTGTCGGGAGAGCCAGAACCGGAATTCCTTCTGGAGATGACACATTTTTTGATTCGCTAATTGTGTAGCTTCCAACTTTTGCAGTTGTTGTGACTCATTGCTACGTGATCAGTTTGCTGGTGACCCTGACATTCGTTTTGTCTCTCAGTAAGATAATGAACTGAATAGTTGCTCCGACAGAAGCATTTATTTGTGTTTCCTTTTTGTACATGTTAATTTCATAGTATTAAAATAAATTATTTCATTTAATGATAATACGAATCAGAAAAATTTAGCGAGCAATAGAAAGGAGTCGAGACAAACGACCGTCTCGAGAGCTTCGAATAAAATCGACGAAAATCAAGGAGAAATCTGGCGAAGAAGTGGAAATTGTAAAAGTTGTAAGTATTACTTTTCACTTTGAATTTGCAGAATATTTTTTCTAACAGTCGAATTTTAATATCTAAGAATCTAAATTTTTTCGAAACTCTTCTTTTTAGAGAACACAAAATGGCATATTAATTCTAAATTATTTAAAGTTTGGAGAGTTTTTTATGAAAAAATGGAAGGATAGGCAGGATGATAAAAACCGTTAATCTAACTGTTCGCTTTCCTCAAAATTCAGGCTTTCCTAAAGCTTTGCTTGAAAATTTCCTTCCTTGCTTTTTTTTAAGAAGAGCTAGCATAGCTATGCTTAACATATGCACTACCAACATGGGCTATCCACGCCAGTTTCCTAAAAATCTTCGAATAGGAAGGGATCAAACAGAAGGCACAATTGGGCGCACTTGTGGTTTTGCGTTGCGTCTTAGAGAGCCCAACACCGACAGTCAGGATAATCGTAATGGAACATTATCATGGATTTAGCGGCATAAATGCAATATAATGTTTTTTGGACTAATAAACTTGTTTCTTGTTTCAGAGTTGTGCCGAAAAGACGGCGAAGTGCTTCACGGTGACCTGTCATTTTGATTTTCTGGATGTCGATGCGGCAGCTGTAATCGATTTTCGATCTCGGCTTTGGAATGCCACCTTTGTTGACGTAGCGTTTTCGTGGATTTTTTATTAATGAAAATTTTAAATTGCAATTCAGTTCTCAGGTTTTATTAATTCCCCTCAAAAATGCTCCCCTTTCTCCTCAAGTAGTGTTTTTTTTTCAGCAGGAGTTAGCCGAAAAAACAGTAGCTCATTTTTTTCGGGATTTTTTACCGGAAACATGATGAATATGGTTCATGTTTTAAAGACATGTTAAATATTAAAGACATGTTAAATAAATGCCAGTCTTCTTTTTTTGTAAAAAAATACTATGATGCTAATTTGCTCTAGTGAATGCGAACGAGCATAGTTGTGTCTAATGCGTAAGAGCATCTTGGTTACATCGCTAACACGGGATACCCGTACTGATTAGCTCGGACTGTTTTGGTTTTTTTGCGGCGAGAATGACCACCAGGAATGGCCGCTATTAGCCATTAGAAATAGGTATCGGGCCAGTGTATGAGCTAATATGTAAAAGTTAGTTTTTTAGTCACGTGCGAAATTGAACAACTTTTCTCCAAAAAAAAAAAAAGCAAAATATGGAGTTTTTCAAAATTTACAGCACTTCTGTCGTTCAGAAAAACAAGTCTGACTGAAAATCTCTTCAAGTCCAAAAAAACAGCAGACAATAGCGTTATCCTTGAAAATGCTTCTTGCTTTTTCAGGATTATTATGATAT